AAATATTAAATAAGTTAATTCTGCTGCAAAATATTACAAAAATAAAGTTATGGCAGTTTTCTGTTTCAGAAAATACTTCTGATAATATATAAATGGAAAATTATTAGAAAAATTTTTTGAAAAATTTTTATAAAAAAATTTTTGACCAGAAATTTTTTGAAAAAATTTTTTCAAAAGATAAAAAAAAATTTTTGACCAAAAATTTCATAAATTTGAAAATTTTACCAATTTCTCGCAAGATTTTACAAAAAATGACCAAATATGGATAAAAATTGGAAAATATGGACGGAACGCCTAAATATGGAAAAATATGGAAATTATGGATTGATAACTCAAAAACGGCCTTACCACCATATGCTAAAACTATGTTCTTTCGACGTTTCAGAACCCTACGAGGCCAGTAAAAAATATGGAAATCTATATAAATCTCATCCCTAGTTATATATAGGGATTGGGGAATCAAATATTTGGAATCAAAAAATAAATAAAATCAAAACATTAGAGAATCAAATATTTGAAGTTATGTTCAATTATTATTTGGCGTAAAAATGCTTTTAAATTTTACAGACGTTTGAAATCGATTATCTTTGCAAACATTGAACCAAATTTTTAATATTTGGTATTTGCAAGTTTACTAAAGTGTTGGGAATAAAAAATCATCAATTTTCATTAATTTTGAAGAAAGGTATGACAAAAAGAAAAGGTGGGATAAATTTGCCGCACCCTGTATATATATTTTTTCCCTATTGCTTAATTTTTTGCCTTCTAAAAAATTTTTATCTTGTTTAAAAAGTATTTTCCAATTTTATTGGTAATTGACTTGTTTTTTATATATCTATCCCGATCGTAACATGTTTTAAATAAATATTGTCCAGGTTCTGAATGATGCAACTATATTTTTGCTTGATAATCCGCAATTAGAACAATGACGATCAGAGGATTTTTGCGATTTTGGGAATAAAGGATGATATCTAGAAGTTGGGGTTGATTAAAAGTGAAAACAGAGATTTTTGGCCCTCGTTTTTCATTAAATTGTAAATATTTACTATATTATGATATCAAAAGATTTCGAAAGATTTTAAATTTCATTAATTTAGCTGCAGAAACACTATAATAATAAAAATTAATTTATATATTATAATCTAACTTAAAAACGAGTTTATCAAACTTTAGATGTTGTAAACAATGTGATATAAAGGAAATGATTGAATATAAGATATAAAAATTGAAAATTTATAAAAACTAGTTAATCTTTTGTTAAATCTTTTTGATACTTCAATTCAATTTAACTTTATCACATCTGACTTTTTACAGAATTCTAAAATATAAAAACAAAATTGTGAATAAAAATCAATCTTTTTATAATGACAAAATCTAACTATTTGATCTAACTACCAAGTTCAATAAAAATCGAAAAACATGAGCGCTGTGTATTAATTTAACTAGCCTAGTTATTTGAAAAAATTTTCCTCTTAAATTAAAATGCTATTAAAAATGCTATTTAAGTAAAACAATTTCTTTAAACTTTGTGAAAATAAGTTTCTATATAATAAGTTAATTATCAGAAAACTAAATTAATATGTTCTGAAATCGAAAATTAGTAACAAATACCCAAATTCGGAAATTAAAAGAATAGATAATATTTTGGTATAACTCTAACAATAATACCCCCTAAAACTACTATATTAAATAAATAAAATTATTTAAACCAATTTTCCAATGTTGCAAGTTCTTTTTCAAGTTGTGAAATCTATTATATGTATTTATAAATTTATTTGATTAAGAAATGATAACTTACGTCTCCATTTATTCTACCTACTAGTTTTTTGAGTTTATCCAAGTTATCAAATGCTGATAATTCCCGAGCAATTAAAGCACGCTCATCATAGTTGAATAAATCCCTGTTTTCAAACGCCTTTAGTAACTTTTTGTGAAATCCTCCTTCTATATTGTCACTATTTTCTTTGATCTTAAGCCGAAGATCTTCTGGAAAATAGTCGGGTAGTTCAATAAGTCTAGTATATTCTTGATAGTATATGGAAACATCATCCACTTCTAGTTCAGATTGACGATGCCCATTAATTTTTTCACCATGTTTTGTTAGGGGAAAACAATCCATTGAATTTAATAGAAAATAATTCATAAAATTAAATAAAACACAAGTTGAAAATTTCATTTTCTTATGTAAATTTAGTTTTAATATGTAACAAGTTATTGGAATATATTTTACTATCAAAATCGGGCGAGAATATATATAACACTTGTGGCTCAGTTTGGTCACACTCGTAGCTCATATGTATTTAACTAATGGATCAATGCTTGTTAAATACCGCTATTAATCTTAGAAGTGGCAAAATTAAATAAGACAAGCCCTTTCTAAATTTAATACTGGGATTTAACAAGCATTGATCCGTTAGATAGATATATTAAGTCATGCAAAAGTTCTGAATCGATTTTACTATGCCCGGAGTCTAGACAAAGTTTGAAAAGGGTGACTGAGCCACAAAATGCCCAATACCCAGCACTTAAACCTGAAATTTTTTAGCACTCCATTAATCCACCACTCATTCAGAACACGTAAGAGTTCTGAAACCCTCAAAACCCGCAACCTTTTAGCGTATCTGGCTAATTAACAGACCAAAAATTTTTAAACGAAATGTAAAACTTTTTGGGGGTTTTAAGACTAAAATACATATTGTCCCAATTAGAAAATTCTAAATAAATGTTAAGGGTATAAAGGGGAGATAAAAAATGCAAGTATAAATATTATTAGCTAATTAAATATTAATTATGGCAATTGACAAAAAGTGCAAATTTTTTGTACCCTTTCTTAATTGACAAATAAAAATTTAAAAATTAAGTCTATAAATTGGGTAATTCCTTTAAAATTTTGTACCTTATATATTTTTTGAGAGTTCTCGGTAGATTTGGTTCGAAATTTCGATTTTCAAATGATAAAATGATGGAGAAAAAATTTTTTCTAATATTTTTTTTTCGTCTCTAAATATTTTTTATATTAATTCTTTAAGCCTTTAGATTTTAAACTGATTTTTTAAAATTTAATATTCTTCTATTTATTGAAACTCTAATTGTATTTGATTCAAAAACAAAATCTAAAATAATCATAAAAAATAAAAAAAACTATAACAAAAAAGCCTGAAAATCAAAAAATACAAAAAAACATAAAATTAAAAAAACCCAAAAATTTATTAAGTAAAAAAATAAAAATAGGTATTTAAAAAATAATAAAATTTAAAAATTCAGAAAAAACCCAACAAAATTTATAACAACCCAAAAAATTCCCTGAATTTTTTATTAAATTCTAACATTTTTAAATCCATTTTTTCTTTCCTATTTTCATTCTTTTTTAAATTTTAAATTCTAATCTTTTGTATAAAATATTTTTGTTATTATATTAACAAAAATAACCAATGTAACGTAAATATCAAAAGGCGATCAACTGTTAGCTTAAGAACGATAAAAAACATACTCTTATTATTATAGCTTTTTTAATTCAAATACATACATTTTCAAGAAAAATTTATATTATTAATAATTTTTCTCTAGTTATCTGAGATAGAGTGTTATTTGTTCAGATAATTCTTTGACTAACCGAAACCATAAATTGAGATCCTCTCCCCTTAGACAATTAGAGCTGTCCAAGGCTCCCTCAGTGACCAAACAATGTTTATTAAACGTATCTTAGGATTAAGTTATCTAGAGTTGAGGCATCTTATAACAGATAATTTCAGTTTTCTCGCATAAAGAATTTAAAAAATGATAAGAGATTTGAGTGAAGTATATTTTGAGTTTATCAAATCGAAATTTCGAAATTCTGATCTTCCCCATAATTTTGCACTTATAAAGACATCTTCCGGCCCCTTATTTCTTATTTACAAGTTTGTCAGGCTCTCAATAGACATACTAAAACTTTGGGTAAAAATAACCCTTTAATTTAAATAATGGCAGTGTAATTTATTAAGAGTTGTCTTTTCCCTGTCATTAGCATTGAACTGGATCCGGAGCGGTACGAAATAATATTAAAGCAAAATCGAAAGGACGAAGAAAGATTCGAAAGATGTACTAAATTTAAGACTGGTCTGTGGAGCGGTACAATATTAGAGTAAAATCGAAATTTCGAATCAAGATTTGAAAGCCTTGCGCAATAAAAGATGTACTATATAATTGGGTTTTTATATAAATCAATAATGTTGCCCATTTTTATTCATTTTATTTACCTTCATCCATTAAAAAATTTTTTAATATATTAATCTAAATAAAATTCCTGTATCGAGCTACTTAAAATAAAACTATTTTTTCGGGTATCCCCTACTCTGAAACTTTAAACTTTCTCTATCTTTAGGTATAGGATTTTGCTTACATCGGTTGGGATTTAGAGATTTGGGAAATTTGGGTATGCTAATGCTTATATGTCTAATGCTTATATGTTTATTCATCGTAATATTATAAAGCAGTCTTCCGTATTTCTGCCCTCTTCCGCAGATTTAGAACCCTAATGATGGCCATTATTTACGAAAATTTTATTTTGGTCCTCTAAAAAATTTTTCCCGCTGTGCCAAAAATATAGAATCTGTCTTTTTGACATTTTAAAATTCCAAAAAATGGAAAAAAATAATAAACTCTAAAAATGGCAAATATGTAGTAATAAAATTCTTTTATTTAGAGATTCATGCTGTTTTTTCTCTTATTTTTTTCTCTATTATCTCCATTATTTATTGGAATGGAGCATAATAGTTACCAGGATGCTTGCTGCAATTCATGCTGGAATGGTTTAGGAAATTTATGCCCACAAAATTGTTGGGACCTTCATCTTGGAGAATGCTTAAATGATTGCTGGAATAGTTTCTGTGATTATTGCAACAGCTTTTTCCGTAATCAAAACGTAAATCAATCTGATTATCAAGCGATAGAAGATGCGGAATGCGAAATTGAAGATAATGAAAATGGATCTGAAGGCGATCTACTAGAACATCATTATACTGGGGGAGAGTGGGATGAAATGCCTTCTACATCGCAAGGGCAAACAGAATATTATCATTATGGAAAAGACGAATGTGAAGAGGAATATGATGAAGAGGAATATGAAGAATATGAAACTGATGACAGGATTCGAGAATATGATAATACTGAAGGACTGTGGCAAGAAATGCCTTCTACATCGCAAGGACAAACATCCCATCATTATGATAATTGGGATGAGGATGTTTCACAGTATAATCCAGACATACATATTCAATTCGGAGGAATGAATATAAGTGGTAAAATTTTATAATTGAAATAATATCGTTGGAAAAACTTCTCTTCAAATCATTTTTGTCTAATAAATCATCTAAAGTAAAGCAACAATTCAAACAATGAAGAAAAAACTTTTTATATTTTTAATATATTAAAAAAGTTTATGAAAAAAGCATTTTAACAGGTCAATCATCTCAACCAACTTACGAACGATTATCAGGTTTATTTAGATTTGCACAAATAATTTTACCAAATTCGAATAAAATTAATTTTGACAGATTTAATAACTGCACAAATTAATTCTGGATCTTTGTCAGGTAAATAATTCATAGTTTTTATTATTGCTTGAACATTTTAAATTTAAAATTTAGATGAATTCCTTGTTGACATAATGGAAAACTTAAATTTATAAGGTTTAAATTTTAACACTTTAATGCTAATAATTGGATAACAGTTTTTCAAATATAAACACCATTATTATAATAAAAAAGATTATGCGCCGATATGCAAATATGTTTGGAAGTACCTAAATATACAAAAATATGCATTAAGAACTGGGTCCTAGAGTGTTCAGGTCCTAGAGTACCCAGCAAAGAAGCATTGGGTCCTAGAGTGCTTTATTTGTTTCTCACAAAGGCATATCCGCATAAAAATATGCATTTGCATGTTTTTCCCAGTCATAATTAATTTTCCAGTCTTAATTAAAAAGAATTATATTATTAAAAGCCTATAATTATTAAAATTATTTGAAAATATAGGGCGTACATATCAAAATGATTTTGATCTTCTGAATATGTTTGATGTTAGAATTTTGCAAAATGTTCGTCAAATTTGCAAGAAACTTGGTCAACGAATCTATGTAGATTCACCATGGACATCTCACTTGTGCAACATTGCTGATTATATAGATTATAATTTGTCTAAAATAAGAAATGAAAAGTCTAATGGCTTTCTTGATTACGATAAATTATTTTCAAGAATTTCTGAATATTTGAAGGCATTATATAAGAAAGATCATGAAATTTGCTATTATGTTGATGAAACTGTAGTGAATCATGACGCACAGAAAATATTTAATCCCTTATTTTCCCAAAAGGCAGTAAGAAACTGGCATGAAAAGGCAATACAAAATTTAACTGCAAAAATAAAGGTAGCAAATTTTTACTGCATATTATGCAATTTATTCTAAAATTTTTGTGATAATTTATTTAAAATATTTCGATGTTTATTCTATTTCGAACATATCTAAAAAGCTTTCCTAAGAAGAAAGGCCATGACCTAAATCTATTAAAAATTAAAATAATTTAGGAGTTGTGGGATATCAACTCCTATAATCTTAAAAGTTTTCGATCGGTCGACATTAATTTGAACTTAGTAATTTTAATTTCTCAGGAATTGGTAAAGGAGGGTATTCAAATTAAATATGATTACAAGACAACAAGTGATAATATAAAATTATTACCTGGAATTGAATTTATTCGTAATAATGTGGATGATGTTAAAGAAAAAGCAATATATTTAAAAAGCGATTTATTGAGAGAATTGGCCAGAAAGGCCTGCCTAGTCACAAGAATTATTGCACAATTGTGTTATGGTCAGCCACATTTAGAATGTGTTTTACTTGGACCGGCACTTACAATATTTTCTTTAGAGCTTTTTATAACAACTATTTTCGCGGATGGTTTTGATCATTTGGTGGGAAAATGGCCTTTCTCTATGTATAAGAATTTTGAGAAGGAAGAGAGTTCAAAACGTGGAGGAAGTGACACAGAATAGTCTTTTGTTGATGAACTAAATCAAAATTTTTTGAAGCATTTCTTTCTTTACACTTTCGATATTTTCTGATGTAAACTTTTTAGTAGATTATCTTTTAGTCTCTATCATTTACAATTAGCTATTATATTCCTTTTTAAACATTTTCAAGTTTTTATTTTTGATATTTCTAGTTAGTAAAAATTTAGAAGATAAAATTATGTCCGTTTATCTTTCAAATTACTTTTTTGAAATCATTAATATTGCACACAGAAAATGAACGTTTCTTGTTTTTACATTGGTCTTAGCACATTTTATTTTTTGAGCTTAATTTCTTAAACAAGATGATTAGTACTATAAATTCATGTGTATTTAAATTCAGCCAGTTTTTTAAAAAGATCCTAAAAAAAATTTTTCAGCCACATTCTTATCGCTATTTTATTTAGGATCCTCCTCTAATTTAGGATACGGAAGCTTGTTTCCATAACAAACTCATTGTATTTTTGAAATTGTTCCTGTAAAAAATTTAAATAAGCAATATAATTTTGCATTACATTACTCTTAGTGATTTTTCAAATGGTGATTTTGATAATTCAATAGAATCTGTTTCTCATTCTTCATCATCATTAGTCCAATGTCCATCACCTAAGATATATCATCACATCATCCATCACAGACTTTCCATCACCAAGGTCCATCGCCATTACATAATGATAAATATAAAAAATAACTTGAAATTTTGGAGTTGGTGTTGAATATATTTGAAGTCTTCAAACCTGAATAAAAATTTACACTTTTAAAATTTATTGATGGATTGCCTTAAAAATACATCGAAACTAATTTTACACTAGGTGTTTCCATACGGTTGCACATGACTGTATATCATGAAAGCCAATAAAAAATTAACAATAAAATCTAAACTTATGACTGGTGATCGGATTGTTTGAAATAAAATCGCAAAGTATGGTTATAAAATGTTGAAATAATTTGGGAAAATATTGACAAAAAAGTCCAAAATTTTGTGAAATATTGAAATAAATTATGGCTTATTCACTAGCAAAAATAAAAAAAAGTTGAAATTTAACAAAAAAATTATTGCATATTACGTTTATACTTCGAAAAAATGCAACACCAAGTGCATTTTAAAAAAATATAAAAATAAAATTGGAAACTGACACTGAATCACCACACAAAACTAAACATAATTTCACAAAAATATAAAAAAATCTTGTTATTTTTGCTTTTTTACAATAATTCTGAATTATTTTTCTTCTTTATTCTATATTGTCTTTGATAACATATCTTACACAACCAATTTCCTGGTTCTGAATGTCGATACCAATCGTTTGTTTGCTTTACTCCACAAGTATAACAATGACGATCGTGCTTGAGTAAAATTAAATAAGTCGAAAACTCGTCTCTTAATCTCTACTAAGACGTTCCTTCCCAATTAGTATTCCTTATAGGTCGCGTAAATATTCTTCAGTTTTGGAAGTGTTCCGAAAACAGAAGTCTCGGGTCCCACGCACTATGCCGATCAACATAAGTAGAGGCAGTTTTTTATCTATCTAAAATTATTTGTTAAATAATTTAAACCTTTTGTGAGTTAAACCACAATTTTTTTGCTCTAAGTTTTCCAGTGTCTCGTTTATATGTAAAACATGTGGAGCACAAAAAATTTTCTTTCAAATAGATACTCCATTGAATGGTTTCTGTTACTCCACAATTAAAGCAATTTCGTTTATTTCCTTCGTAAATTTTACCTATAATATTTTTAAGAATAAGCTTCTCAGATTCTGAAACGAATCGAAGAATCTAAGATTTTTCCTTCGAGTTCTGGATATCCAAACATTTTTACGATTTAAAAATTAAAACATTTTACGAAAGGTTATGTTAATTTTAAATAATGTTAAATTTTTAATAAAACTTAATTATTTAAATGGTAAACTTTTATTAGTTTAAAATTTTACTTATTTCATTGCCAATATAGATAATTTTGTTTTTTAACTCTTCGAGGTATTCAACTTTTTGTTTTTCTAACAATTCAATTTTATACCCAATTAAATTAATTTCCGTCCAATAACCTGATAAAAGTATATTTTCACAATTTTCTATATTTTCTTTTATTGATTTCAGACCATTATTACTCTGATCTAATATAGACATTTGATAATAATTATTCTTATAAACAAAATTATTATTTCTGAGTACCTTAAATATATGATTAAAGTTAGAGAAACAACACGATAATCTGAAAATCTCGCAAAATGTGGATTGCGGCAGCTGATCTCGAACTTTAGATATCAGTTTATACTAATAATTAATATATATAAAATACCCGTTTTTTAAATTCAGGCAAAATATTTTGAATCTTCTGACTATTAGCAATTTCAATCACAATTTTCTTTTTTAATTGTTCAGTTGGACTATATTCCGACCTAGATTTTATTTCAGATTTAAAAATATTTTTAACAAAATCAAATTTATTTAAACGTAAATATTTCTCTATATTTTTAATAAATCCATCATATTTATTATTTTTCTTATCAATTGTTTTCAACACAAAACGCTCCTTTAGGTCTACATTTTTTAAATAAATAAATTCTCTTTTTTCTTCCCAATCATTTTTGATTTTTGCTTCTACTTTTATTATTTTTCCTGCACATTTAATATTCAATAAAATAAATAAATGGAAGATAATAATGATTATATATTTATTCATCTTTTTTGGTTTATTATAAAATCTTAAAGATAATCAACTTAATAGTAGGTAAAATATTAAAGTATTTGTGTCGATATTCCGTTTAATCCTTTTACACTTATCATGCTATATTATGACTCACCAATGCTAGGCCTGGCTCCGGGTGATGCTAGGCCTGGCTCGACGAGCTAAGATTTTAATATGCAAGGAGTCTAGCCAAATTCTGAAAAATGTGACTGGGCTACAAAATGCCCAACAACCAGCAATGGACTCAACTGATTCTTATACAATTGACTTAAACATATAATTTTTAGAACTCCATCAATCCAGCAATATTCAGAACACGTAAGGTTTTTAAAACCATCAAATACCTCAACCTTTTAGCGTATTTAGCGTAAAATAAACTTTTTTGAGGGTTTTGTGGCCCAATAAATGAATAGGATCTTAATTTTAAAATTTTAATTAAATGTTAAGGGTATAAAAGGGAGATAAACAAGTATGAATATTATTGACTAATTAAATATTAATTATGGCAATTGACAAAAGTACAAATTTTTTAAAGTACACTTTCTTAATTGACAAAA